AACAGATTTATGACAAAGAAGTCAGCAACATAATGATAAAAACTGAAAAAATGCTTTTAGATCTTGCTTATTTATTTATTTATTTATTTCCCAAGGTAGCCTTTTTGAATCAATGGTAAACTGATTTGATTTAGCGTCAAAAGTTAGTTGTCCAGGTTTGAAGCATCATGGTTATATATAGCTTGTGAATGTGAACCTTTAGATTATAGAAATGCTCCAAGGGATTTCTCAAAACATTAGTCCCTGGCACCTAATATTAAGTGATTTGTGAGCACAAGCCTTCTTGTGGCTACTGCTTTTCTGAAGTCATCCACCAGAATATGGTGAATATGGTAAAAAACACTTTGGAGCATTTAAAAGAAGAGGCTGTAACAATAAAGTCAATCACATCAGAAGACAACCATATGTAAAATATTCTGCATTAGTTTTAATTATGAATTAATTTAGATTTTTTATATTGACCAGTTATTTGAAATGTAAAGTTAAACCACAATTTTTCATGATGCTATTTTTGTGATCAGACAAAATTGAACTGCAAATGTATGACAAATTTAATAAAGATTTTGTATTACCTCGCCTTAACTTAAAGTCTGGTTTTAGATTTAAACAGTTAATGTTGTTTAGCCTCTGTCTCACCTATTGGTGTCATGAGTTTGGCAGCTGCCACTTTGTCTAGGGGGTTAGCCATATATTCAGACTTATCAAAACAAGTAATAAAAAAAGGTGAGACAAACCCATATCTGAGATGGACATTTACACATATAAAGAGATTTGGTTGGTCTGGTAAACTGATGTTAATGCTCTCGCACATCATGAGTTAAAAACTTACAGCTCTTTGACTCTTAGAAACATTTGCTCAATAACATGATTTTGTACTGAGAATGACTTTTAGAAATGTAATTTATGGCATTACAATAGACTAATACTGAATAAATTATATTGGTCCATTGTAAATAAAGACCTGATTTTTTTATATTCATCAGATATTTGTAATGCAAAACAATCTGTAAAAAAGCTAGCAGTGTAAATAGCCAGATAGCTGACTTGTCAGCTAATGTTAGCTGCTTCAGAATGTAGCAGGAACAACAGGCTGTTGCTTCTTGCTATCCTCTCCTCTCCTAAACACATAATTGTAGTGTTTTTGCTGCTGGGTGAACAATCTGTAGAACAGTAAGCAGTGTACATAGCCAGGTAGCTGACTTGTCAGCTAATGTAAGCTGCTTCAGAATGCAGCAGGAACAACAGGCTGCTGGTCCTGGCTATCCTTTCCTCTCCTCAACACACAACTGTAGTGTTTTTGATGTTGAGTGAACAATCTGTAAAACTGTTAGCAGTGTACATAGCCAGGTAGCTGACTTGTCAGCTAATGTTAGCTACTTCACAATGAAGCAGGAACAACAGTCTGCTGCTCCTGGCTATCCTCTCCTCTCCTCAACACACAACTGTAGTACTTTTGCTGTTGGGTGAACAATCTGTAAAACTGTTAGCAGTGTACATAGCCAGGTAGCTGACTTGTCAGCTAATGTTAGCTGCTACAGAAGGTAGCAGAAACAACAGTCTGCTGCTCCTGGCTATCCTCTCCTCTCCTCAACACACATTGTAGTGTTTTTGCTGCTGGGTGAACAATCTGTAAAAAAGTTAGCAGTGTCCATAAGCAGGTAGCCAAAGTGTCGGCTAATGTTAGCTGCCACAGAAGATAGCAGGAACAAAAGGCTGCTGCTCCTGGCTATCATTTCCTCTCCTCAGTACACAACAACTGTAGTGATTTGCTGCTGGGTGAACAATCTGTAAAACAGTTAGCAGTGTACATTGCCAGGTAGCTGACTTGTCAGCTAATGTAAGCTGCTACAGAAGGTAGTAGAAACAACAGTCTGCTGCTCCTGGCTATCCTCTCCTCTCCTCAACACACAACTGTAGTACTTTTGCTGTTGGGTGAACAATCTGTAAAACTGTTAGCAGTGTACATAGCCAGGTAGCTGACTTGTCAGCTAATGTTAGCTGCTACAGAAGGTAGCAGGAACATAAGGCTGCTGCTTCTGGCTATCCTCCCCTCTCCTCAACACACATTGTAGGGTTTTTGCTGCTGGGTGAACAATCTGTAAAAAAGTTAGCAGTGTTAATAAGCAGGTAGCCAAAGTGTCAGCTAATGTTAGCTGCTACAGAAGGTAGCAGGAACAAAAGGCTGCTGCTCCTGGCTATCATTTCCTCTCCTCAGTACACAACAACTGTAGTGATTTGCTGCTGGGTGAACAATCTTTTAAACAGTTAGCAGTGTACATAGCCAGGTAGCTGACTTGTCAGCTAATGTAAGCTGCTACAGAAGGTAGTAGAAACAACAGTCTGCTGCTCCTGGCTATCCTCTCCTCAACACACATTGTAGTGTTTTTGCTGCTGGGTGAACAATCTGTAAAAAAGTTAGCAGTGTACATAGCCAGGTAGCCAAAGTGTCGGCTAATGTTAGCTGCCACAGAAGATAGCAGGAACAACAGACTGCTGCTCCTGGCTATCCTCTCCTCTCCTCAGTACACAACTGTAGTGTTTTTGCTGCTGTCATGATTGGATGTAACCTGTCAGATGTTCCTGGGCTGCTTGTTACTTCTCCCTCTTAGGACACCTAGCCTCTGGTCCACTGCCAATACTAGCTATAAACTAGCTTCCCCTGACTGTATTACTCCTTAGCACTGCATCTGTTCATTAACCACCTCTGCCAAGGCTGTGTTGACAGTCTGAGAAAGGCTGATACAGTCCACAGATAATGTTGTGCAGAGGCTCTGCACATATTTTTCATACATACACCACTTCTCATCCACAAATTTTAACCCTTCACTATGGTCTTGCCACACTGCCTCATTGCATCATAACAACAAAGAACAGCATGTAGACCTGTCAAATCTCTGCTCTCTTCTCCAGTCCTCTGAGCAAATTCCAAAGCAACTGGTGTAAGTTAACACTCATTTTTCAATGGAATCTTTCCCTCCCTGAATAAATTCATCACCGATAACAAACTTTATCTCCTCTCAAACTCCTGCAACACAAACCTTCATACCATTTTCTTTCAAACTTTAAAGCTCTACCTTACTGGTTAATGCAGTTATTTAACTTAACACAAAATATCAACTTCCACACCCGCAGTTGTGAGCACATTCTGCTGGTTTGCTCTGGTCTCACCATTAAGCAAGTCTTGAGCCACAATCTCCATATTTGTGACCACCATCTAGCAACAATACTGAATATCCACATCAGCTTTCATGGTCAAAAAGAGAAATCAGCATTCAGGAACCTCAAGTTCATCCCTGTCTCAGCTCTTTCAGCCTCTCTCTCATCTGCATTATCCCCTAATAATGCTGTCATATCATCCAGAATTGCGTACTAAAGCATCTTGAACAGTTCATTACCCAAAGTCCTCAATAAACCCTGGTATATCCAGAACTCTGCTGCTCACCTTCTCACACACTCTTACTTCTGTTAGCAAATCTCCCTGTTACTCCAGAACCTCCACTAGTCTCCAATCCAAAGACTTTCTCACTGTACCGTCCCTCTCTTCACTCACAAAGCTCTCCATGATCAGGACCCTATCTTACTGATAAGGTCCTAATCCTGTCTTACTGACCTGCTCAACTCTCACACTCCTTTCTGACCTGTCTGCAGGACCAGTGGTGAAAGAGAGTGTGAGAGCCTCAACCTCCAACAGAAAACTGATCTGCCAAAATCCAATTCTCCTCTAAAACACATCTCTGGAATCACTGATGATGCCATTTTATCCAAGCTTTGTTTTTTTTTCTTCGTTTATAACATGAGTTTTTGTGACACTTATCTTTCAGTATTTTTTTAAAGTAACACAAGTAAAATGTACTGCAATAATAATACTAATAAAATGATAATAGAAGTAGTAGTGGTAACAGTAGAAGAATTGGGATTCTTGCAGTAAGAATGTTATTATTATTATTATTATTATTATTATTATTATTATTATTATTATTATTGTTGTTTGAGATAGTACAGGCAGGCTGGGCAAGACAAAGTGATTAATTGTCAGAAACATGATATCATCCTTTTAAATAAATAAGTTCCTATTTACTGAAATTGAAACTGATAAACACACACTTCTACAATAACAAAAGAAGCGGGCTGCCTTAATAACAAATGTCTGGCGGGCGGACACACAAATTCTGTGACTAATGCAGCACCACCCGCACAGGATGTAACGGTTTTGCAAAGTAAGCGCTCCTTAGCTGATAGTTTGGAGAAGAGATAAGCACTTGACTACAAAAAGTGTATTTAAATTAGTAAATAAATACATTTATTGAAACTGGTAACTGATAAACACACACACTATTACTCTAACAAAAAGGAGTGGGCTGCTTTAAATTTTTATATTGACATGCCTGGCGGGCGGATATAGGAATCTATGGTTAAAGCAGCACCACCCGTTCAGGACGTGCTGACTATACAGAGTAAGCGCTCCTCAGCTGACGGTACGGAGATGAGTGAGAAGCACTTGACTGCAGGGGAGACTTGAGCTGCAGCAGGAGAGGATTTAACTGAAAGGTAAGTGGGATTCTGATAAAATAATTAGGTAAGTGATTACTTTATAGTCAAAAAGTTACCCGGTGTTTTCACACATGGTATTATGTGGCATGCACACAGAAAGCTAGCTGCTAGCAAAGTTCGTTAGGCAGAACTAGCGGTCTCACGGTCGCATTGTGTTCTCTTTGTAACTTTTTGTCAAAGTTTTTAACTATAAAAAACACCGAAAATGTGACTTGATTTTGTTTAATCTTTATCTGAATCTTATTCTTTTACAACACGGTCATATTTGGGGAAATGTGCGTTATGGTGGGTGGGTGGGGTAGGGTGGGGGGGAGTGAGAGCAAAGCCGCCATCTTAGGCACGTGCGCTTTTAATTGAAGTAAATGACAGACCGTTCACAGTGAAGCAGCAGGAGCAAGTTCATCATTTTGTGTCAGACAACATGGTCAGTACTCACTGGTTTGTCACATGGTTGTTAAAGTTTACAATGAATGTAATTTTAGTAACATTAAACATTATTGAGTAGTTATATGACACTGCAGACATGCACTGGGCCTGGCATGTTTGTCCATAGAGATAAAAAAAAATCAAAACTTGAAACTATAAATTTTCCTTTATAGGATGTATACGCTGAGAAGCAGAAAAGTCCAAAAACAGGATGACTGGCCTAGGAGGAAAAAGGTTTGTCAAAGTCTTTGTTACTGACAAAAATTGAAGTACATTTTCAGAGCTTACTCAAGTTGTTCTGATGTAATGGGCTCCAGTTAGGTTGTGATTTTAGCAATCTAACAAACACACTTGTCATTCATCCTAATCTTAGAAGGGCAGACAATCAGCTGTGGCTGAAACATCTGAGGCTGAGATCTCCAGGACCACAGAGGAGCCTCCTGAGGGATCTACACTCAGAGAGATAAAGGTATTTATTCTAGCTGATCATCTTGTCTGGTCTTGAGGTGTTAAAGCTGCAGTTGTAAATACTCTGCTGATTGGTCAGGTCCTTATAATGTATCAGATTTTTTTATTTTGATGCTCAGTTAAGCTGTGTGTCTGCTTTAAGGCTCCCTTGGGTTGATTTTGAGTTGTGGGGTCCAGTCAGGTTGGTATTTAAGATGTCTGACAAACACACTTGTCAGGTTTACAGTGTTTGTGGGGTCCACGTAAAGTCAGATACACTGTTGACATTAATGGGAGATTAAATATCAAATGAAAAAAATACATCCTTTGCAGTTGATGTGTTCCTCACTGTGTAATGATCTAAGACCCCACCGGTCACTCCATCTGTTTGACTAGGAGACTGAAGTCTCTGCCAGTCCTTTCTGGGCTCCATGATCCACATTTTGGTTAAAAGAAGACACCAAGCGACAGAAATAGTAGTTGGTACAGATGATTTTGTTTAGATTATGGGATTTAGCATGAGAGCTACAGCGAGTGGATTCATCAGGTTTAAGAATCATAATGTATTTAAAGTTGCCTGTATCTTTAATTGTGAAGAAATCAGAACAATAGTTGGTTAATTTACTAGTCATCTCAAACTTGTTGTTTAGGACATGGAACCACCTACTGTGGCTGAAACATCTGAGGCTGAGATCTCCAGTACCACAGAGGAGCCTCCTGAGGGATCTACACTCGGAGAGATAAAGGTATTTATTCCAGCTGATCATTCTGTCTGCTCTTTAGTGTTAAATCTGCAGTTGTAAAAACTCTGCTGATTGGTCAGGTCCTTTAAATGTATCTGATTTTTTTATTTTGATGCTCAGTTAAGCTGTGTGTCTGCTTTAAGGCTCCCTTGGGTTGATTTTAAGTTGTGGGGTCCAGTCAGGTTGGTATTTAAGATGTCTGACAAACACACTTGTCAGGTTTACAGTGTTTGTGGGGTCCACGTAAAGTCAGATACAAAGTTGACATTAATTAGAGATTAAATATCATATGAAAAAAATACATCCTTTGCAGTTGATGTGTTCCTCACTGTGTAATGATCTAAGACCTTAGCAGCCACTCCAGCTGTTTGACTAGGAGACCTAAGTCTTTGCCAGTCCTTTCTATTCTCTATAATCACTTTATGTTTTTAAGAAGACATCAGTTGACAAAAAATAGCAGTAAGTACAAATGGATTTGTTTAGATGAGGTGATTTAGCATGAGCTGCAGTGAGTGGATTCATCAGGTTAATAGACTGTTATGTATATTTGAGGTGCCAGTGGCTTTAAATGTGCAGAAATTAGATCAATAAATAGTTGGTTAATTTACTATTCATCTCAAACTTGTTGTTTAGGACATGGAACCACCTACTGTGGCTGAAACATCTGAGGCTGAGATCTCCAGTACCGCAGAGGAGCCTCCTGAGGGATCTACACTCAGAGAGATAGAGGTAATTATTCCAGCTGATAATCCTGTCTGCTCTTTAGTGTTAAATCTGCAGTTGTAAAAACTCTGCTGATTGGTCAGGTCCTTTAAATGTATCTGATTTTTTTATTTTGATGCTCAGTTAAGCTGTGTGTCTGCTTTAAGGCTCCCTCGGGTTGATTTTGTGTTAAGGGGTCCAGTCAGGTTGGTATTTAAGACGTCTAACAAACACACTTGTCAGGTTTACAGTGTTTGTGGGGTCCACGTAAAGTCAGATACACTGTTGACATTAATGGGAGATTAAATATCACATGAAAAAAATACATCCTTTGCAGTTGATGTGTTCCTCACTGTGTAATGATCTAAGAACCTACCGGTCACTCCAGCTGTTTCACTGGGAGACTTGAGTCTTTGCCAGTCCTCTCTGTTCACCATGGTCCAGTAAATGTTTAAAAGAAGACACCAGGTGTACAAAAATAGCAGTCAGTACAGAAAATATGTGTCCAGATGAACTCATTTAGCATGAGAGCTACAGTGAGTGTATTCGTCGGGTTTATGAAGGTAATGTATATTTATGTGCCAGTGGCTTTAAAAGTGTAGAATTTAGATCAATTATGAGTTGGTTAATTTACTATTCATCTCAAACTTTTTGTTTAGGACGTGGAACAACCTACTGTGGCTGAAACATCTGAGGCTGAGATCCCCAGGACCGCAGAGGAGCCTCCTGAGGGATCCAAACTCACAGAGATAGAGGTGTTAGTCCACCTGATCATTCTGTCTGATTTTTAGGTGTTAAAGGTGCAGTTTTAAAAACTCTGCTGATTGGTCAGGTCCTTATAATGTATCTGATTTTTTTATTTTGATGGTCAGTTAAGCTGTGTGTCTGCTTTAAGGCTCCCTTGGGTTGATTTTGAGTTGTGGGGTCCAGTCAGGTTGGTATTTAAGATGTCTGACAAACACACTTGTCAGGTTTACAGTGTTCGTGGGGTCCACGTAAAGTCAGATACAATGTTGACATTAATGAGAGATAAAAAAGGTTTTTTTTTCTTATTGTGTGAAATAAACATTATATGCAGTTTATCTGTTCACTATGTGATGATCTTAGAACCCACCGGTCACTCCAGCTGTTTGACAAGGAGACTTAAGTCTCTTCCAGTCCTTTCTATTCTCCATCATTCACTCTGTGGTTTAAAGAAGACATCAGTTGACAAAAAATAGCAGTAAGTACTAGTGGTGCAACGGATCACAAAACTCACGGATTGGATCGTTCCTCGGATCAAGAGTCATGGATCAGATCATTTTTTGGATCAGCAAAAAGCAACAAAAAAAAAAAACAAGACAAACACGAGTTTTGTCTGTTTATTAAACACTTAAATGATTAAATTAAATATATAAAAGTAGTGCACAAGGCATAATATCTTCTTTCTAGCATAATTATTAATGAAAAACAACTTGAAGTGCAATATACAGGCATATCTCCTTCCTTTAAAATGTAACAATGAACCAAAAATGAAGTATGTGAGCGACGGGATGTCTTAACGTGGCTCAAGGACTTTCAGCATGTTTTTAACATGTTTTGCACAACTGAATATGGCCTCATGTCTGTAGCTATAAACACACCGATAGCATTTGTGATAGCTTTAGCCCTGTCGGATTGCACAAGGAAGAGGCTGCTTAAATGCTGCGGTGAAGTTGTTGGCCAGCTTTCGTTTTATCGCCAGTCAGTAAAACACCCGGGTGATGTCGCTTCAAATGCGTGAACATGCTCGATGTGTTCCCACTGTCATTTCGATTTCTTATGCCACAGTGCCTACACACCGTCGCAGTTTTGTCCACTGACCTCTTTCCTTCTTCATCATAGTTGACAGGGATGCCAAAATGCTCCCATACAAGGGACGTAAGTGTCGCGGGGCGTTCAAGCTCCTCCTTTCCTCAACTCGCCATGTCTGCCCTCCTCCTTTCTTCGCTTACAATAAGCTGTGTGTGGACGGAGCACAACTTTTTTTTTTTCAGAAATAATTAGCGGGTCACATTTGTGCCAAACCAATGACGTCAATCCGAACAGATCATGGATCAATGATGATCTGTTGCACCACTAGTAAGTACAAATGGATTTGTTTAGATGAGGTGATTTAGCATGAGCTGCAGTGAGTGGATTCATCAGGTAAATAGACTGTTATGTATATTTGATGTGCTAGAAGCCTTTAATGTACAGAAATTTGATCAATAATAAGTTAGTTTATTTACTATTCATCTCAAACTTGTTGTTTAGGACATGGAACCACCTACTGTGGCTGAAACATCTGAGGCTGAGATCTCCAGTACCGCAGAGGAGCCTCCTGAGGGATCTACACTCAGAGAGATAAAGGTATTTATTCCAGCTGACCATCCTGTCTGGTCTTGAGGTGTTAAAGCTGCAGTTTTCCTCACCAATGCATACATTTCAGTAAAAGGGCTACCATCTGGTTGATCTTAATTAGCTTTGAGTATAGGCCTTTTTTTCGTACCTTGATGAGATGCTTCAGTATTTCGTTTTGTCTTTATTTTCTCTAGGACTCAGATGCAGCTTGTCCTCTTCCCTCAGTGAAAAAATATGGGCTGAATCTTCCTCTAGTAAACTACACAGATTCTGATGAACCCCAGAGTCCATCCTCAAATCCTGAATCTGAACATTGCCTCTCAGAGCAGGACCATATTTCTGTCCCCAGGCTCAGGAGGACCAAAAGTATACTGGTAAACAACACACACACACAGTGCAGTGAATGTATTAAAAGTCAATTGCAGACATTTCATTGGTCTTGTGCCTACTGTCTATCATATTTTTATTGCTTTCTTTAGATGAAAAACCAGATTCACTTTGATTCAGAAGAGCTTTATGACACCACCTCAGCTGACAGTGAAGAGGAATACATTCCTAAGACAAGTGAGGACTCTGATGATTCCGGCAGAAGTGAAGTCCTGGAAGTGGACCCTCTCTTCAAGATAAAAGATGTCATCAAAGATTTCCCTCCCTTAACCCAAAGATCTGAAGCCTCTTCACAGCAGGTTGTTACAAGAGGGCGTTCACCTGTTAGGAGAAGTAGCTCTGGTCTGATGCGTAAAAGGCAATGCTACAGAAGTGTGGTTCATCATTCAACACTAGCCAGCCATGCTGACTCATCTAACCAGAGTTTTGTAGCAGACGCTGATGCCCTGTCCCAAAACTCAGTGGTGAATTTAGACCAGGACCAGGACGAATGTCTTCCTGACAGTTCCTCTTCCATTCTTACAAATGATAATGAGTCTGGTGGTCCACTTTCCATACCCGCTGTCTGCAAAAAAGAGAATGGGTCAAGACTTTATAACAAGAAGCAGTACTGTTTGTACTGCAAATTGGGTGTTATAAAAATTGCAAGACATTTAGAGCGAGCACATATAGATAAGTCAGAGGTTGCACAGGCTTTTGCCTTCAAAAAGGCTCCAAAGAAAGACGAATGCATCTGGAACTTTTGAGAAACAGGGGCAACTTTTCACACAATGTAGAGGTACTACACTCTGGGGTCGGTAACCTTGTTCCCCGCAAGCAGCCGAGGCAGGATTCCAGTGCACAGGATTTCCTACACTGTGCATATTGTCAAGGCTTTTTTGCCAGAAAGCTGCTTTGGCGGCACATGCAGATTTGCAAGCTTAGGCCTTCTGTACCACACAAACCAGGTAAAACCCGTGTCCAGGCCCTTTGTGCATTTACTTCACCTCCTCCACCTGGCGTCAAACAGGACTTGTGGAAACTCTTAAACAACATGCTCCAAGATGAGGTTTTTTCAGCAGTTAAATCTGATGCCTGTATTCTGGAGTACGGGGACCATCTATACAACAGACTGGGACATGATCCTGGAAAACATGAATATATCCGCCAGAAGTTAAGAGAGCTTGGAAGACTTCTGCTGTGCTCCAGAAAAACCACCTCCATGAAGACCATTCGAGACCACATCAGACCATCCAACTTCATGCAAGTTATTCAGGCTGTAAAAGAGGTGGCAGGTTTTGATAGTGCAACCAACACTTACAAGTGTCCAAGTCTGGCCCTCAAAATTGGACATAGCCTGACAAAGGTATCAATGCTTGTAGAAAGTCGTGCAAATGTACAAAACAATTACAGTGCTGCTAAAGATGCACGTACATTTCGCAGAGTGTACGAAACTCGCTGGAATGAAATGGTTTCGGCTGCATCACTGAGGACACTGCAGGAGGCCAGGTGGAACACCCCTCTGCTGCTTCCTTTCACAAAGGATGTCCAAACTCTCCACTCCTATTTGGATGAGAAACAGCAACATTACAGCTCAAAACTATCCACTGAGACATCCCCGCAAACATGGTCACAGCTGACCAAGGTCACGTTGACTCAAGTCATCCTTTTCAATCGTCGAAGAGCTGGGGAGGTGTCAAAAATGCCCATGACAGCATATTTGTCAAACAGTACATCAGATCCTCAAGATGATGTGATTGATGCCCTGTCACCTGTTGAGAAGAAACTCTGCCAACACTTCAGACGGATCGAGATCAGGGGAAAAAGAGGAAGAAAGGTTCCCGTTCTTCTGACCCCGGCAATGCAGCATGCATTGGATTTACTTACCAGCAAACGGCAGGAATGTGGGGTTCCTAAAGAGAACAGGTATCTTTTTGCTAGACCATCTGCCTTTACATGCCTCCGTGGTTCTGACTGCCTTCGACATTTTGCAAAGATCTGTGGTGCAAAAAGTCCCGAAAGTCTCACCTCCACAAAGCTTCGCAAACAAACAGGAACTCTTTCACAAGTTCTCAACCTCAGCAACACAGAGTTGGACCAGTTGGCTGATTTTCTCGGCCATGACATACGAGTACATAGGCAGTTCTATAGGCTTCCTGAGGGCACCCTCCAGCTTGCTAAAATAAGCAAAGTTCTATTGGCTCTGGAGAAAGGACGGCTGGGAGAATTCAAGGGAAAGACCTTGGATGACATCAACATTGACCCGGAGGGTACTATTTATCTATCTCTCTTGTCTCCTTTTGAAGGAAATGCACTTTTTGTAATTATGTTTTCTGGGAATTTTTCACCATGTCAGAAACAAATGATCTTGAATAACACTCATTCCCCCTCACCCCTATACAGAGAATGTGCACCCTGACAGCGATCCTGACGAGGCATGCGAGTCGGGCTCTGAAGGTTGGTATTTACATACAATTTTATATGTGACCACTGCTGCATATTTGTAGACATCCATGTGCAATATCAGTTTACAGAATCCATTTGGAGCCTGCTTTTGTCTGTCAACAACTGGTCATAAAATGTTTTTGTTAACTTTAAAGCTCATCGGTCTTGATGTTCATTTGCAACATCAGAGAGGTGACTATGTAATGTCTGTAACGGCTTCATTTTAATCCCTGCACCAAGTTTAGTTTGAGCTTTTAGATTGCTGTTATAAGCACTTGCATGTCAAGCACAAGCATGGTGTTAGAGGTGTTGGGGGGCAATAGGGTAGGTTGATTTACCTCTTTTAGGTTAGGATATAACCAGGGTGGTGTATCCACAGATATCATAATCAGAAGATGCCACACAACCCCAGGATGCTCCAAGACCACCGCCATCTTGGAGCAGTACTCGTTAATGGTTTTCAGTCAATTGTAGTTTTTGAGGCCTGTGATTCACCTTACATCAGCATTTGTTTACGTTCAAAAAAAAAGGGATCAAGTTAGGTTTGGTGATTTACTTAATTGCAATATCACCTCAAAATGTGCTTAATGGCACAGAAAAACAATACTAAGTATTTATCAACTCCATCAACTGTATTTATGTCACAGGCTTGAAACTACAACACTACTCAGCACTATATCGCTGTGTCAAAGAGCTCGTTAAGAGTTATTGAGTTGATATTTTTTTCAGTTTATGTGAATTGAAATAGTTTATGATCTAATTTCAGATAAGAGTTACAGAGAATAATTTTGCACATGTATTTTACAAGTATTTAGATTTATAGTTTAACCCTTCTTATCAGCATGGAGGATCAATACTGCAGTCAGTCAGCAGAGATCTTGAAATGTTTGTGAGTTGGGGAGAGCACTGTTATGCTACAGTCTGTAGTCATTAGACTTCCAATATGTCTGTGGGGTTTGTTAACCTGTGCCTCATAGTGAAGAGCTTCAAATTATGACCAACATGTATAAAGTCAACCTTTATGCTAACATTTTAAAGTTAATGGATGAAAGTAATTATAACTCAGTTTTACACTTGACTTCATAACATCAAGTGACAAGAAGTGCCTTACTTCCTGTGAATTCAGTTTAGAGGTCCTTCAAAAGAAAAGCATTTCCTGTTAACCAGATAATCCCAAATCTTTCAATTTAGCAGGTAAGTTGACAAATACCCCCCTAAATAATGTAAATAATGTATTTTAACATGTCATTAGGAACTTACTAAACTAAATTTTACTAGAAAAAATATTCAAGGAAACAATTTTCATCATCCTGTATACAAATTTTGAATGTATCAACATATATACTTATCCTTTTTAACATGAGAAACTTGATCAACTTTAGGAGATTCTTGGTTACAAATATTAGATCAAAAAACTTTAACATAAAGGGGTTGAATGGCTGGTGTCACGTGTGCTTCACAATCAGTTAGAGCATGACCACAGTCACAATATCCAACTGGTTTTTCACCTATTGCACAAACGAGCTAGTGAGCTGTGGTGGATACAGTCTATATTCTTCTGCTCTGTTGTAGGGAGTAAGTTTACATCTAGTCAGAGGGAAGAGGATGCACCATCTGATGTGAACCATGATGATGCATCACCACAGCAGAGCACCATCGCACCTCAAAACACCAAACAACAGGGGTCACCAAAAACGGAAAGAGGCAAGTTCTCTGAGACCGGTCTGAAATCAGATTAGTTTATGGTGTGGTTGTAAATGTGTTTTCTTGGCATGTGCTGAAATGTGGATTGCAGACACACATTTGTGATTAAGATTTTTTTTGGGGAGGGGGAAGTTTCTGAGTTCTCATTCACCTATGTTACTTAAATTGCTTCTAAATCACTCCATGGTTAAAAAACAGAATTGATTATGTTTTTGTTTATTTACAGCTCGGCAGCCTGTTAAAAAGAGGCCTTGGGAAAGAGAGGAGATCCTGGCCGTTGAGAAACACATGATGTCCTTCATCACCACATGCCGTGTTCCAGGGAAACGCGACTGCGATAAGTGCATTGAACAAGAGAAAGAAGCGCTCAAAAACAGGAATTGGTTGGCTATTAAATTCTATATCAAAAACCGAATCACAGCTCTGAAGAGGAAAGTTTAGAGGGATCAGGTGTTGTCTGTTGACAGCTGTAGGAGGGTTGCATCACTTTTACTGTCCTCAAGGTAAAGCATGTTTTCTGGTTTATACCATTAACTTGTTAGTGTTTCCTTATTTTACCTCCTTATTTTAATTTATATTTGGATGCTTAGAGTTACTGTAGGTTGGGCTTCAGAGCTGTGTCATACAGTAACAGATTTGTCTACCTGTAAAGGGAGTTTAATGAAGAGTTTTGACTCGATTTATTTTTGTTATAAGCTGCCAATAACTGCACAGACACACTGTACCAGTTTTAAAAGAGGAGGGTGTTTTCTTTTGTTTTTGAAAGAATGTTAGTTTGTGGTTCCTTAGTTGAACAAATTTTGTTTATCCAACATCTTCAAAAAAATTTGAATAAAAACTTTCAGCTTTTAAATTCATCCACTGTTTCAGGTCTAATCATGTGAACAGTATAAAAAATCCTTTACATAGATATATCTTTCTTATGTAGCCACATGCATATTAACACATAAGACACAAGACAGCTGTTGACTTCTGTCACTATTCAATTTAATTATTTGTACAATTTACCCTAAAACACAAAACATCATCCTTATCAAAACTATAAAATCAGCCCATCTGTGCTGTGTTAAAAATTAGAGTTCAGACAAGAGAAAGGGGAGAACTTTCTGGCTGAAGAAAACATCAGATGGTGCACTTCTAAGAAAGACACATCCTGTGAACATTGAAGGTATATCAGGTCAGGTTTGAGAGTAGATCTAGAGACTGATGCACTTATAATACCTTGAATATAAGCTGGTGATACTGATAAGAAATGTACTTGTCGAAGATTGTCGAGATTGGTTCTCATCACTGTCCTGCACTGACAAGTGTGGAGTGGTCCCACAAAGTCTGTTTGATCTGATGTTTGTGTAAGTGGTACCCAGGAGGAGAGAAAAACCGGGCAGTGTGTAGATACTGACCCCAGATGTGGCCAAATACCAGACAGGTTCCCAGATGTCTGTGCCTAGTCTGGTCAGGGACCTCTACTTTGTCTAATTGGTAATTTGAAGTGATTTCTCTGTTTACCTACATGTCAGGATACTGCCTGATTTTTCTCAGTGCTGTACAACCTTCAGAAAGGTTGGTTCCCACAATGCATGGTCTGCTCATGTGTCCTGACCATAGCACAAAGACAAGGATGTGTGTGTGTGTGTGTGTGTGTGTGTGTGTGTGTGTGTGTGTGTGTGTGTGTGTGTGCGTGTGTGTGTGTGTATCAATCACTCCAGTGTCGGTGATGACGAGGAGCTGTTTGTGTTTCTCATAAAAGGGAAAGGGATCAAAAGGACTGCTCTACCAGCTGGACCTTCAATCACACTGGGACAACATGACTTTAGAGCCCTGGGCAGCTGGAGCTCTGGGGACTAATGACGTGTGTGTGTGTGTGTGTGTGTGTGTGTGTGTGTGTGTGAGTGTGTGTTTGTGCGTGTGAATGTGTGTGTGAATGTGATGTCTAAAACCTTTTGATATAAGGCCATTCACATTTTTTATCATCAAAATTTATGTTTCTCCTTGACTTTAAGGAAGGATTCTGTTGTGCGGCAGGCTTGTAGTGAGGACCCAGAAGCAGACACTGAGACAGAGCTCAACGTAAAACGATTTTAATGTCCAAAAACAGAAAGGGATAGATAAGGGAACAAAGGAAGTCCGGTTGGTTGGCTGGTAGGCTGGCTGTCGTGTGGGCTGGAGACACTGCAGGAGAAACCAGAGGAGACAGGAGTTAAGGGACATGCAACGAGTCACAAGGAGTAAAGTTCAGAAAGTTATACCACGAGGTTTTGGCCAGGAGACGCGTCTTTACCGCTGGGCAGGGTAGACAATACTCAGGCGCTGAGACTGAGGGCTGCAGGCTTCTTAAAGTCCCTTGATTGGAGACGAGTAGCAGGTGTGTCGTCTCACTCAGCCTCAGCGCCGGGGGAGGGGAGGAAGCCCTGGAAAAGAGCACAGCCAGAACAGGCAGATAGGGAAAAACAAAGAAGTCCAGCCAAAATAACACAGGATGAGGAGGCGTCTCACCACAGTACCCCCCCCTTAACGAACGCCTCTTGGCGTTCTGCCGGGCTTGTTGGGGTGGGCAGCGTAGAACTCCTCCAGGAGTTGGTGGTCCAGGATGAGGGAGCGGGAGATCCAGGAACGTTCCTCTGGACCGTAACCCTCCCAGTCCACGAGGTATTGGAAGCCTCGCCCCCGAGGCCGCACGTCCAGGATTTTCCTTACAGTGAAGGCAGGGTGGTCATCAATCAATCGGGGGGTGGAGGGGCGACGGAAGGAGGGCTCAGGGTGCATGAGGCAACAGGTTTTAACAAGGAGACATGGAATGTGGGATGAATTTTGAGAGATGAGGGAAGTTTTAATCTCACCGCTGAAGGGTTGATGATTTTCTGGATAGGGAAGGGACCAATGAAGCGGGGGGACAGCTTGCGGGACTCGGTCTGCAGGGGAAGGTCACGAGACGATAACCAGACCATCTGACCAGGACGATAGTCTGGTGCTGGAGAGCGGTGAACGTCAGCCAGGCGTTTGTTGCGCTCGGCCGTGCGGGTGAGTGCGGCCCTGGCCGATCTCCACACCTCCCGTAGACGCCCAATGTGCTCCCTCACCGACGGGACGGCCACAGGTTGCTCCTGTTCGGGAAACAGGGGGGCTGGTACCCAAAACAGCACATGAATGGGGACATACCTGTGGCTGAAGAGGTGAGGGAGTTATGGGCGTATTGGATCCACGGGAGGTGCGTACTCCAGGACGCTGGATGATGGGCCGCCACACACCGCAGGGCCGACTCGAGGTTCTGATTAGCCCGCTCCGTCTGGCCATTGGTCTGTGGGTGGTAACCCGAGGAGAGGCTAGCTGCTGCGCCCCACTGCCTGGCAGAAAGCTCTCCAGACCTGAGAGGAAAACTGAGGACCACGATCTGACACGATGTCACGGGGAATCCCATGTAATTGAAATACATGAGTGACTAGGAGGTTAGCAGTTTGGAAGGCAGATGGGAGCTTGGGTAAAGGGACATAGTGAACAAATTTGGAGAATCTGTCAATGATGGTGAGTATGACAGTGTTACCTTCAGAGGGAGGGAGACCAGTGACGAAATCTAAGGCTATGTGGGACCAGGGGCGTGAAGGCACAGGCAGAGGACGCAGCAAGCCAGCCGGAGGTTGGTGGGAGGCTTTGCTTCGGGCACAGACGGAGCAGGCAGCAACAAACGCCCGTACGTCCCGGACCATCCCCGGCCACCAGAACCGCTGCTGGAGGAATTGGAGGGTGCGTTGAAACCCGGGGTGGCAGGTGAGCTTGGAGGAGTGCCCCCACTGTAGGACCTGAGAGCGTGCGACCTCAGGGACGAACTTTCTGTCCAGCGGGCCGGTTCCGGGGTCTGGGTGGTTCCGGAGGGCCTGGTCCACGATAGTATCGATCTCCCAGGTGGCGGAGCCGACGACACAGGAGGCGGGGAGGATGGTGTCTGGTTCACTGGGGTCCGGAGTATCCAAGGCGTGGATCCGAGAGAGGGCGTCTGGTTTGAGGTTGCGGGAGCCGGGACGATAGGAGAGGGTGAAATTGAATCTGCTGAGAAAAAGGGACCAGCGGGCTTGCCTGGGGTTGAGGCGACGAGCGGAGCGGAGGTATTGCAGGTTCTTGTGGTCTGTCCAGATTAGAAACGGTTGGGAAGCTCCTTCCAGCCAGTGTCTCCATTCTTGCAGTGCCCACACGACAGCCAGTAATTCACGGTTTCCCACGTCGTAATTTTGTTCCGTGGCTGAGAGTTTCCGGGAGAAAAAGGCGCAAGGATGAAGCTTCTGGGTCTGAGAGTCCCTCTGTGAAAGGACGGCCCCTACTCCAGAGTCCGAAGCGTCGACCTCCACCATGAACTGAAGCGAGGGATCTGGATGTTTGAGCACCGGGGCGGAGATGAAGAGGGATTTGAGGTGATGGAAGGTGGCGTCTGCTTCGGGGGTCCAGGAGAATGGAACCTTTAGGGATGTGAGCCGGGTGAGGGGAACTGCGACCTTACTGTAGTTCTTAATGAACCGTCGATAGAAATTAGCGAAGCCGAGGAATCGCTGGAGGTCTTTGCGGGAGGAGGGGGTGGGCCAGTCACGGACAGCGCAGACTTTTTCTGGGTCTGGGCGTAGCTCCCCCTGGGCGATGATGTAACCAAGGAAACTGACGGAGGAGGCGTGGAACTCGCACTTTTCGGGCTTCACGAAAAGGCGGTTTTCGAGGAGGCGCTGAAGGATGAGTCGGACGTGCTGCTGGTGTTCCCCCAGGTTTCGGGAGAAGATCAGAATATCATCTAAGTAGACGAAGGCGAACTTGTTAATCATGTCGCGGAGGACATCATTAATGAGGGTCTGGAACACAGCAGGAGCGTTGGTGAGGCCAAAGGGCATGACCAGGTATTCGAAGTGGCCCATGGGTGTGTTAAAGGCCGTCTTCCACTCGTCCCCCTCCCGGATGCGAACCAGGTGATAGGCATTCCGGAGGTCCAGTTTTGAGAAGATGGTGGCTTGACAGAGAGGTTCGAAGGAGGGATCAATGAGTGGTAGGGGATATTTGTTTTTAATGGTGATATCATTTAATCCACGGAAGTCAATGCAGGGACGGAGAGAGGAATCTTTTTTCTTCACGAAGAAAAAACCAGCAGCCAGGGGAGAAGATGAGGGTCGGATGAGTCCTGAGGTCAGGGAGTCTTGAATATAGTCCTCCATGGCCTCTCGTTCGGGCCGAGAGAGGTTGTACAGTCTACTACTGGGAAGAGGGGCTCCAGGGAGCAGGTCTATGGCGCAGTCATAGGGGCGATGAGGAGGAAGAATGAGAGACTGCTCCTTACTGAATACCATTGCTAGGTCATGGTAGACGGGGGGAACCGAGGTGAGAGATGGCGGTGGAGATGCTGACTTCTGTCGGTGGAGGTGAGGATTGGCGGAGCGGAGGCAGTGGGAGTGACAGTGAGGGCTCCAGGCGGAGATTGAAGATGTGGACCAGTTAATCTGAGGGTTGTGGATTTGTAGCCAAGGGAGTCCCAGCACCAGGGGAGAGTGAGGAGATGGAAGCAGGAACAGCCGGATGTCCTCCCGATGATTTCCGGAGAGGATGAGGGTGAGAGGAACTGTGCAGTGGGTGATGGAGGCTATAACTCTGCCATCGAGAGCGGTGACCTTACGGGGAGCCGGGAGTTCCTCCAGGGGGAGCTGAAGCCGCGCTGCCAGTCCAGCATGAATGAAGTTATCATCCGCCCCAGAGTCAATAAGGGTTTGAAGGGAAGTGGACTCCTTTCCCCACAGGAGACAAGCAGGTACCAGGATGCGTTTGGGAGAGCTGGCAACGGAGGAGGTATGGCTCATCAGTGTGCCCTCAGTCACGGATGAGCCTGGCCGTTTAACTTGTTTGGGCAGTTGATTAGAAAGTGACCGGCCTGGCCACAATAGATGCACAGCCTCTTCTCTACCCTCCTTCTCCGTTCATCGGGGTGAAGCTTAGTGTGGCCGATCTGCATGGGTTCACCTGCAGATGGCGCCGGATCCGGGAAGACTGAGGGCTGCAGAGGAGACCCGCTGACCGCAACAGAGGAAGGGGAGTCTATTCTAGGGACTAAGGAATGGTTTTTCTTCTCCCTCCGTCTCTCCCTGAGGCGATTATCAATTCTAATAGCTAGTGCTATTAGCTCCTCCAGGGAGGAGGGCTCATCACGAGTCGCTAGCTCGTCCTTCAATTGTTCAGAGAGACCCCGAGTGAATATCCCCTTTAACTCGAGGTCCCCCCACCCACTCTCGGCCGCCACAGTACGGAACTCAATGGAGTACTCCGCCGCTGACCGAGAGCTCTGGGTGAGGGAAAATAGCCGTTTGGTACACTCGGGGCCCTCGACAGGAAAATCAAATATTCTCCGGAGCTCTTCGGAAAAGCGGGCGTAAGAAGTGAACAGAGGTGAGTCCCTATCCCAGACGGCTGTAGCCCACTTAGCGGCCCTACCTCTTAACAGATTAATGGTGTAAGCGACCTTAGCTCGATCTGAGGGGTAGCTAATGGGCTGTTGGTCAAATACTAAGGTGCAACGAAGCAGGAAACCTCTGCAGCCCCCAATCTCCCCAGCATACGGCTCAGGAGGAGGGACATAGGGCTCTTTGAGGGTAGCGGGTGGTGGAGGAGGTGAAGAGGGGACTGTACTCACAGAGGGGGGGAATCCTGGTTGTTGTGGTGGAGGCCGAGGGAGTAGTTGCTCCGCCAGCTGCGACAT